AAATGAAATATGTATGAATATCTTACATTAACCATTTATATTCAACATTAATAATTAAATTTACTAAAGAGAATGTTCTTTCAATGTGTATTTAAAATATATAAAATAATATAACATAATTTTTTAAAGTTATACCAAAAGAAAATATTGCAGATATTTATTGCGTTTGAGCTGCATACTTAACTATTATTTCATRATGTGTAAAAAATATTAAAATTAAAAKGTAGTCCATCTTAAGAAAATATGTTACCTGCGTGTGTTTTCTCTGTCTTATAAGTKCATAACATAACAAATTGTATGTTTATCAGATCACGTTTAGCTTTGTTAGTTTAAAATTTAGAGTTAATTGACTTCTTATACATWTTAAAAGTAAGATTATTATCTAGTCAATCTCATAGGATTTGTATCATATTTTAATTTTWACTCAAGTAATGAGTATTTTAAAATRTTCAAACAATTTTGCAATTTTAAAATACTCATAACTAGCTTTTAAATTAAAATATGATAAGAAGCCTATGATATTGACTAGATTATAATCATACCTTTAATTTKTATAAAAGATTAATTCACACTAAATTCTAAACACACAAAGCTAAACGTTAGATGATRACTATAAAATGTTCAAAGTTTCACAATTGTAAGGCGAGGCAACACATGTGAGTTGAACTATGGAATCAATTAACAAAATTAATATTTTTTGAACCATGAAAATATATACTTAAAAACAACAACATATAATTTTATAGAAAAATATATGTTAAAAAATCTGTAGAAAGGTAAAATTTAAATTCAATTGAGATAATTTTGTTATCTTTGCAATGAAAAAAAWTTTTTTATCATTTATGCATTCACTGATAATCTATAAGCTGATTAAGAATTTWAACAAATAAAGTYCATTCTGTACAGTATATAGCTTGTAAGATAATTTAACTACATATTGAAATTCATTGTGATTGTTACTGATAACTATTTATTTTTTAGGTTCCACTTCGTAAAACACCACATTTTATAGCTTACCACTTGGAAACAAAAACTTATTGTGTGGTGACTTCTTCATCTCAACTTTCTGCATCATATTATCGATTCAATGGTGAAGACAAAGAACTGACTACTGAAGAACGTGATCCTCTGTTTCCGCTTCCCAGTCATGAAGTTTTTACATTGGAGCTGTTTTCCCCTGCATCTTGGGAACCGATACCAGATACAAGCATTGAGACTGAAGATTGGGAGCATATTACTTGTTTAAAAAATGTTGCATTGGCATATGAGGGAGCTCGTAGTGGTCTTAAGGGTTATATAGCAATGGGTACAAATTACAGTTATTCTGAAGACATCACYAGTAGAGGGCGTATATTTTTATTTGATATTATCGATGTTGTCCCAGAGCCTGGTAAACCGTTGACWAAAAATAAAATAAAGATGATATATGCTAAAGAACAAAAAGGTCCTGTAACAGCTATTACACATGTAGTTGGATTTCTGGTGACTGCTGTGGGCCAGAAAATTTATATTTGGCAGCTCAAAGATAATGATTTAATTGGTATAGCATTTATAGACACTGAAGTATATGTCCATCAGATGTTAAGCATTAAAAGCCTAATATTAGTTGCTGATCTCTTCAAGTCCATTACACTTCTGCGATTTCAGGAAGAATATCGTACCTTGTCATTAGTATGTCGTGATTCCAAACCATTGGAAGTATTTGATATAAATTTTCTTATTGATAATGCTGAACTTGGTTTTTTGGCTTCTGATAGAGACCAAAATTTACTTCTCTATCTTTACCAGCCAATGGCTCGTGAAAGCTATGGTGGCCAACATTTAATTCGCCGTGGTGATTTTAATATAGGGTCTAATGTAAATTCATTCTTTAGACTTCGCTGTAAACAATCCACATTGRCATCTGAACGGCGAGAGGCTATTGGCTCTGATAAACGACATGTGACTATGTACACAACTTTGGATGGTTCAATCGGATACATCGTACCGATACATGAGAAAAACTACAGGAGGCTGTTAACATTACAAAATATGTTGGTGCGGAATATAACACATCTAGCTGGATTAAACCCAAAAGCTTATCGCAGTTTTAAAGCAACTGCTCCTGAAAGAATGAATCAAGCTAGGAGGATAATTGATGGTGAACTGGTATGGATGTATGTGACATGTATGAATGCTAGACAGCGTAATGAAATTGCCAACAAAGTTGGTGTAAAGACAATAGAGTTGTTGCAAGACATATATGAACTAGATCGGACCACTTGGCATTTTTAATATCTAAATTTTRTGTTAAAATTCGTTCCTAATGTCTAACTGCAACATAAAAACATTTTGTTGTGGACAAAGTTTATTATTAACTTTGTGTTTTAGATCAAAGTKTTATTTGAAAATAACTATATCACTGGATTTTTATTTTTACGATAGGTATACGTATACTATACCTAGAAAAGTATATTGTCATTAGCATGAAATAAATCATTTATATATTATTATGTGTAAATATTGTTATGTATCAAGTCTAGTTTTGTATAAAAGAAAAAAACTTATAAAATATTTCATTTGTGCATGTAATTTTGTATATATATTTTTTTCTACTTTTTACTACTATTGTATTCCTTGTGTACTATTTTCARACTGGTGGTTTTTGTTGATGATTGTCTTGTATCTTAAAATAATTTCTTGTAACCAGTTAAAAAATTATTGATTATTGTCTGTCTAAGATTAAGCTTATAGTTTATTTTAACGCCTACTTATAGGTTATACCTAGTGTTGCAATAGTAAAAGTTTCCATTCTTTTCAAAGGATATAATTTTTGGAGTATCAATAGACTATTGAGACTTTAACAAGAAAACCAATGTATTGGCCTTTAAGACTTAAATTTTATTACTGAATTATAGAATCATAAATAATWTCCAGTAGGTAGGTAACGTTTTGTTGTTACCTATACTAATCTTCAAAACAGRTCCCTAACTTATTGCTTGATATAAAYTTTTAGTATTTTTATATTTATCAACAAAATAGGACTATTTTTTATGTTATAGCTTATTCAAAATGTTTATTAAGTCTTCTTCTGGATGGGAAGTGACAAATGATACAACAACGATACATAATTAGTATTATAGTATGAATGAATAAAATATGTGATATATTTAATTATAATATACCACAATAGTTCCTGTTTCCTATCCTGGGAGTTCTTGAATTACAATCTTGGATTTTATTATAATATAGTCATAGATTAAATATGTGTGTATTTACCTACTATTATTATATAGTATATACTAAATAATCAAAGATTAAAATGAAACACATACCTTTAAAATTCATTAATCAAAAAACAGAATTTCCTATATAGTGTAGTAAATATACACATTATAATAATATTGTTTTAGTTTATCTTCTAAATTATAAAATTTCACTTACAATACCTAATATGGTCTGAAAATAATATAGTCAATATAGGTACTAAATCACTTATATTTTTATATTTTATTTACCCTTGAGTCATATGTGTAGACTATGCTAAAATAAAAATATACATTCTATTAATAAAAGGTTGTTTCATTAATATTACTATTTATAATACCTATTAAAAGTGATTCACCAAGCATCCTCCTTCATATTTCCTTTAAAATAGGTAATGTTTATGCAAACTTTGATTTTDGGAATTTGTTATTTTTAAAGTCAGACTTTTCGAATTTTTTAATTTGTTCAATTTASCTACTTAGGATGACATTAAACATCATATATTTTTCAAATGAGATTCCCTCAGGCCTTTTTTTTTTAAATTTACTAGGTATTCTATTAAAATACGTCAATATAACGTTTTAGTTAAAACTTGCACTAATATATAAAATAAAATAATATATCTACCACATTTAAGCACATGTTTGTGTTAATTAATAAATTGTATTTTTTGACTGGACATTTACTAAATATTTTTTTGAAAATTTTTATTTACTTAGCTAGTTTCTCAGTTATTATTAAAACATCAATTATAATGATAATAGTTCTTAAAATGGTTTTAGAAAAGTATAAATCCATAAAAATATAAAATAAACCTAATATTGAATCTAGTATTTGACATTAGTTATACCTGGATTAGTTACCTATTTATATGAATCAAAAACATCGATAATATAAAAATATTGAATTTTGAATAATTTTATGTTGATAATTATTTTGATTTAAGAATTTCAAAACAGAATTTATTAACTCCATTCGTTTGTGGTCAATCCCTTCTAAAGTCTGGTATTCATCTTTCTATAAATGAGACCAGCCTATCTTCAAAGTCCAAAACCTAACTTATACCATTTGTTTTAAAAATTAATAAAATTAATACCTATGCCATAACGATAATAACTGCGCACCTCGTGTTAGTACTCATAAAAAATAAAAAAATATACTACGTAAGACATAACCTAGTGCTAATACGCGGTAGGTATAGTTRGTTGCTATATAATATAATAGCTTATTTTGTATTGGATGTTGGTACTAGGTACCTACCTGCCTAATTTAGCTTTTCTGGGGTCACAAGTAAATTTTGGTAAATTGTTAGTCGGGACAGAGGAACAAAAATGATTTTGCGCTTGTTAAGACCTAATAATAATAATGCCGAAGTGTTTTATCGAASGTCGTTTTCGRTTTAAGCTGTCGAATTTTTTTCTAAGAATAATTTCAATGTTGTTTTTCAAGTCGTGAAAATCCAGAGACTAGGTTTGTCCATCATGTGAATTCAATGTTGCAAAACTTCAGGAATTAGGTCTAGGTGCTATTTTAGGATTAGTTATGTTTTAATTTYRATACATATYAATATAATCCTCCAACGGATGACGCTTCGGGTTTTATACACAATTAAGTCTTATTACCGTACATTTATAAACGCATAATAAATAATATWATAATGTACCTACTACCCGTCTACTTTCACAGTACTTTTGTATCTTATGAGTAAATTATTTACATTTTGTACCTATCATATGCTTTGTTTGGTCGTTTAGAGGGAATACAACGAAGGTTATGATCCTTGGTTGCCGCGGGAAGACTGGGATAAATTCGACCCGCACCTGGTGTCCGAGGGGGCGTTTGCAGCCGCCATGATATTCAGGTAAATATGTAAAATGTTCAATAATTTATGTTTACATTTTGTGCAAGATATATACCTATGTATAACAATAATATAAAAGTTAGGTAATTGCGCAGTCACGTATATAATTGCGCATGTTGAAAACTTTTAATAGCTGTCGCCCGTACACACTTAAAAACACCTTAGAGTCTAAGGCTCAGTCTTGTAAAAGATACTTTTAAAAAGTATTCAAGTACAGATACAGATACTTTTTTTCAAAAGTATTTAAAATACGTATTTGAATACTTGAAAAAAAGAAAGTATTTAAGTACAAATACAAATACTTTTAAAAAGTATTTACAGATACTTTCAAATCTTTTTTCCTTGGCCTAATGACCTTATAGATAAAATGAATTATTATTTATTAAT